ATTTCCTGGCTCATTCTAACCATTTATATTTGTTGTAACATAAAGTATTGTAGTATGGCAAATTTCAAGATGCAAAGAATGGGAAGTATACTGAATTCAATAAATATGTTTCACATTGAAATTTCTTGGGTGGATATTTTGACATCTTTTTAGCACCCTTTGAAACCATGGTTGAACCATTCACCAACTTTATTTATAGAAATACGTTTTTAAAAGTCAGCTTCCTTCATTTGTCAGTCATGTGTAGTTGCTGCTGACTCTTGCCTTTTTCCAAAGCTTCCATGCATGTCAAGAGGACTTGAAACAGAAGAAAAGGGTATGTCTGAGCTTTAGACCAGGCAGGTACAACATGGATTTCTCATTCTCCTTTTATCCATGGTATTGGCCTTTGGAGTGGACAGCACACTGCAACTCTCCTTACATTCCTTTTTATGGGAAGGAAAAGACTCTTGAAATATTTTTTCTGAAGTTTTAATATAAAATATATTCCCCTCAATCGGTGCAGGGCATCAGGATAAGATGGGTACTCCGATTTTTAAAGCATTATTTCACATGTACTAGAGATGAACTGTTCATAACATGTTTGAACATAAAGGGAACTATTTTTATAACTGTTACTATATGTACTTGAAGAAAATAGATGTAAGTCCCAAGACTTGACTTCCTCTCGAGCTATAGCTTTATTTATTTATTTTTAATATTCTGGACATGCATACAAAAATATACTTTCTATAGTTATAGTCTATATATCTTTGCAATCACATCTTCCCCTATGAACCTGCATGAGCTATAAGATCTTCTGGGGAGACCCTTCTCTTGCTCCCATCCCCGCCACAACCACTGCTGGTGGGGATGAGGAAGAGGGCCTTCTTGGTGGTGGCCTCTCAGCTCTGGAATTCTCTCCCAAGGGATATTAGATTGGTGCCCATCCTGTCCATTTTCCATAAAGAACTAAAAACATGGATGCTCCGTTGTGCTTTTGATTAATCAGTTCACTAGACACTTTCGGCCCCTCCAGCTACTACGCACTATCTGCCTCTTGCACTTTACCATTGTTCCTGCCCTATAACTGTATGACTCTAATTGATTTGGCTCTTCTAACCCAACTTACCATCTAGTCCCTGCACCTTTCCATCAGCCCTGCCCTTGCAACTGTATTGCACAAGTTCCTGCCTCACCCCTTAGCTCAGAATATGGCTATTATGTGAGGTTATTGGTTGTTTCTTGATAGTTTTTTTATGATGTTTTATGATATTTGTATGGGTAAAACTTTTATTGTGTTATATTTCAATCTTTGTTTGACTGGGCTAGGCCCCATGTAAACCGCCCCAAGTCCCACTGGGGAGATGGTAATGGGATACAAAAATAAAATAATAATAATATTATATTCTTATTAAGAAAAGTACTAGAAAATGAATGGAATCATGCACTATATATTCTTTATGATGTTATTATTCTATGTGTTTTATTGTTTAACTGTCTTAAACATATGGGATAGGTTTTATGACAATGTTTTAAGTGGCATTGAATCTTGCTGGAGTTGTATGCTGCCTTGAGTCCCTCCTACGGGAGTGAAAAAGAGAGAGTATAAATGAAGCAAAATAATAATAAATTAATTAAATAATTCCCTCTGCACTGTTAGAATGTAGTGAAAATATAACCACATAAAGGTGTGAAGATGTATTAACATACAATTATTTGAAAAGATCGTCTGGGGGGGCCCTGCTCACAGTCCCACCTTCTTCACAAGCGGGGTTGTTGGGGACAAGAGACAGGGTCTTCTCAGTGGTGGCCCCTCGGTTGTGGAGCTTCCTCCCTAGTAATATCAGAGCAGCCCCCTCCCTCCTAGTGTTTAGAAAAAGAGTCAAAACCTGGGTCTGGGAGCAGGCATTTGAAAAATAGATCAGTGCAGGAACCTTAGTATGGAATATGTGCAATTTGACTACAGATTGGCCTTTAACCTACGACTCTGGATGACGTGATTATTATGCTTATTACATTTGAATTTTTAACTTATGTTTTAACTGATGTTGTATGTTTTAAGGCACAGTGGAGGTGCAATTGTAACCCACCTTGAGTCGCCCTCGGGGTAGAGAAAGGTGGGATATAAATAAGGTAAATAAATATGGTAAATAATAAACTCCTTTCAGTTGGCTACAGCCAAAAAACCCCTACTGGTTTTGGCCTACCAAAGCCACTATCAATTGCTATTGTACAAAAATTAAAATACCATCAATGAAGCTTTCTTCTTGAGCTAATTATTTTTGTGCTAGGCAGACATTTGCACCACTTGGAAGGCCAATTATTTCAGAAAAGATTAATAATCTTAATAGCAATATGCTCATTCAATTGTATTACTCAGTATAAATGGATGGATAGTTATTTGATGTGTGATTTTATTTTATATGATTTCTCTCTGCCCCACTCCACGTTCCCTCTCTGGATAATTCCTCTGTTATATCACAATGTTTGTATCCTTATGGGAATAGGCAGGTGCTGATTCAATATAATTCTAAATTAGTAAGTTATATAAAATGGGAGTTGGCTTCACCTTTGTTTTCCCAACCCATCTATCATGATGAAAGCTATTGTTTGCTACCTATTTCTCGACTGCATCCCCAGAGGGTGAGGGTTCATATCATATTCCAGGAAGTGAGGTGTTTAGTAAAAATGTGCTATAAGAATCACAAATATATACATGTAACCAAGTCACTGTAGTTACCAAAGCAAATCACAATATACCTTGCACCATACACAACTATACCATGTTCTGGTGGGTAAAATGTACACTAAAAAACAACAATGGTAATTAAACATATAAGGATGCTAGAGAAATTTCACATTTGTCAATGTGATGTCTCCGTGTTCAGCAACAAAGGGGGCAGAGATAGCTAATGGCCACAGAGCTGCCATCTAGTGCTCAACTCTTGTTTTGTTTTTGTAAAAAAAAACCAAGGGAATATGGCTGGACATACAGTCAATATGCAATCTTTTTGCTGAACTAGAAATAAGGCCTTTTTTGTAGCAACTGCTCCAACAGTTCAATGATCCCCCTTCCTTTAAAATATATAAGGATGCCCTGCATTGTCTGTGCAGGAAAATGTAAATACCAAGCTATGGAAAGAGTTAAGAGCTTATACCTAAACAAAGTACAAAGCAACAAATATATAATCAACTATAACTTAATGTAAATATAGTAAAGGTATCTTACCCATATGCCCCCTTTTTCATCCAGAGTAGCATTATTATTTTAGAGGACTAAAGTGACCGTATATACTTGGGTATAAACTGACCCGAATATAAGCCGAGACACCTAATTTTACCACAAAAAACTAGAAGAGCTCGAATATATTGACTCGAATATAAGCCTAGGGTGGGAAATGCAGCAGCTACTGGTAAATTTCAAAATAAAAATAGATCCCAATAAAATTACATTAATTGAGGCATCAGTAGGTTAAATGTTTTTGAATATTTACCGTATTTCAAAGAAAAACAGTTAACTAGCTTTGTAAGTGGAAAACTAGGGTCAACAAAAACAATATGGTATCAACAATATAATAATAATAATAATAATAATAATAATAATAATAATAATAATAATAATAAGCATTTGTATCCTGCCCTATCTACCCATGGGGACCCAGATCGGCTTCCAACTTAGTAACAGGCAAACATTCAATGCTTATATAAACAATGCAGAGCTAGATATAGATCTATAATTATATATATTAATTTCACATATGCATTTCCCTCTGAAACATTTGTAAATCGTCTCTCTCTATACGTGCATTTTCCTTCTGCAATGTTTGAAAGTCCTATATATCTATGTTTATATCTATCTAGACATCTCTCTCTCTATGTACCTATATATCTATATTCATAAGCTCTATATATCTATATTCATAAATATCTATCTCTAAGTAATTATATCTATATAGGATTTGCAAAGACTTGCAAACATGTGAGGGGAAAATTCATATATAAAATTATTTATATATATACACATATACATACACAGAGAGAGAGATATACAGATATATAGGTACCTCTATATATTTATCGATATCTGTATCTATATAGGATTTGCACAGACTTGCAAATATGTGAGGTGAAAAATCAGATATAAAATAATGTATACATATAGATACAGATATACAGGTACATGGAAATCTTTAGATATATCTATATGTATATAGGATTTGCAAAGACCTGCAAACATATGAGGGGAAAATGCATATATAAAATTAATGCATATGGATAGATAGATAGAGATATATGGGTGCATAGGAATTGCAAAGGCTTGCAAGGGAAAATGCCTATATATCTGTATGAGAGATTAACAAATATTTCAAGGGGAAATGCTTTTATAAAATTAATGGCTATTCCTGACTTGCACGGGCTTCTCTCCCTTGCAAAGAAGAATTTGGAAAAGAAAACACACTAACAAAATTTCTCAGGAACAGTTAAGAAAAGATTGATTGGACTTTGATAAAAAATTAAAACTTTAAAATGCTTATAAAAAAGAAATGGAGAGGAGAGCCCAAAGGAAGAAGAACGAAATTCTAGATAACATAACTTTACCTTTGTTTCCATCAGAAGAAACAGGACACTAATGTACTCGCTCCTATTTTTCACCTCTTGTTTTTTTCTCTTTCTTTCGTTTCTTTTCCTTCTCTTTCTATGGGAGGTGGTTGATTTCCAATTTCCATCCCAAACCCACTAACTATTCTACTTTATTTTAGCTAAACAAGTCATGAAATATCATGTTAATGTACCCACCTTTTATCCCCCAATAAAATATTAAATAAAAAAGGAAAAGAAAACACACTGTTAAGGGAGGAAGAGAAATATATCATATATTGCAAATAATGGCCTCCAGGCTCCACTGCCCAGCTTGACCCAATATAAGCCAAGGGAGGTTTTTTCAGTCTAAAAAAGGGCTGAAAAACATAGCTTATCTTTGAGTACATATGGTAATTGAGTTAATTAGAAGATCTCACCTGTAAATGGGATATTCTGGATCCTTGAAGGACTCCTTAACCATGCCTCTTTGGATCCAAAGGGTGATGGTATACTTTCTGTGGTGGGAGTGTCAGCTGAAAAATTTTCAAAGTCCTCTTCCTCCTCCATGGGAGAAATAGCATCAGGGATAAGCAATTTAAGTTCTACTAACCCTGTACAGTTAGAATCCAATTCTTTAATGATGTTATCACATTGAGAAATAAAATCCTCATTTTCTGGACTGAGCAGCCTCACATTAGCATTGTGATCTGCTTCTGTGGAAGACAACCCCAGTTCCAAGTCCGGCTGTGGGCTGGTTTCAATAGTTCTTTCGTGGATCTCAACTGCTGTATGTTCAGTTATGTTTGAATTTTTCACATTGCACTCTGGTTGGGGACTTGTAAGGAACATGGTTGGATGATGTGCATTTGGGGATTCTGACATTGGGGATTCTTTTGAGTTGTTCCTTTCCTGTGCATCTTTCTGAGCACATAACCTATATACCATGACATCATCTTGAAAGTCTGACTCCTCTATATATGACCCTTTGATCAACATTATTGCATTTTTCTTCATCTCTTGAATGTGCTTTGGTGGTTCTGCAGGTGGTTTTGCATTTACACTCTGTAAACTATCATCGTGCTGAGGTGAACCCGTAACAGATCCAGGAGACATCCCTGTATCATAGCTATCATCCCATTCTAGTTCAAGCTGCATCTTTTCTGTGAGTGGAGTTATCTGAGAGGAATGAGAGTTGCTAGGGGTTCTGTGCTTAAGTTGGAAAATTGGCTGATTTAGGTTTTTACTATCCTCCTCAGCAAGTGTTTGAATAAAGGTATATGGATCAGGATTTTCACCATCATATGGAGAAGACCAAACCTCACAATCTTTCATGCAGTGGAGTATAAGAGTTTGAGCATCCCAGAGGTATTGGAGATAACTGATATCAACTGTTTTCCCACATTCAACAATACATGTGGAGTCTGTAATGCTACCATGGGTAGACCTTTCAGGGGAACCTGAAATAGAATAATAGAAGAATCAAAATTAGAGAACTAAGTAATAGTACAAACACATACCCAAAGACCACATGAGTATAATTTTAATTTCAAGCTTGGTTATAAGGTTATCATAGATCTGTATCACCTAATATGTATTATTGTTCAACAGGAAACATATTTATGAATATAATGGCGAGTTACGTGAATCAGACCAACAGAAGGAGATTGGCAACCACACAGATTAGATAACTAAACTTCCATTATGCTGAGAATTCTCACAATTTATTTTTTCCTGGCACTTTTTTGTGCTTTATATACATTGTCATTGTAATTTATAATGGTATTTACGATATCATCTTTATTTTTCTATCAGTTCCTAAAGGAAAATCTGGGTTTTTGTATACTAGTCTGTTAAAAAGTCTGAAAACCATGGCCTACATTTAGGGAGCTAAGAATGTTCAGCTTGGTAAACAGAAAGTTTAGAGATGACATGATAGTCATGTTTAAGTATCTGGATGGATGTCATACTGAAGATGGAACAGGCTTGTTTTCTGATGCTCTGGAGACACAGAACAATGGAATCAAACTACAAGAAAAAGAATCCACTTAAATATTAGGAAGAACTTTCTGAAAAGAAAAGTTGTTTGACACTGGAATATGCTGCTTCAGTGTGTGATAGAGTCTCCTCCTCTGGAAGATGGATGGCCACCTGTTAGGAGTGCTTTGGTGTGTATTTCTGCATAGCAAGATGGGGCTAGACAGGATGGCTTTGGTGCTATTCTCCAGCTCTATGACTCTATTCTTATCAGCAGTCATGCCATGAGTTTGGGCAAGAACCTAATCTGGACCACCACTATGAGTTTACAAAAGAGTGATATAAGCTCCCAGATAGCAAAATCCAACAAGTTAATGAGTAGCAACTGTGTGAACCAGTTATTTCTACAGTAACTCAAGGCTCTTCCACACAGCCATATAACCCACAATATCAAGGCAGAAAATCCTACAATATCTGTTTTGAACTGGGTTATCTGAGTCTACACTGCAATATAACCTGGTTCAAAGCAGACAATGTGGTATATTATGCAGCTGTATGGAAGGGGCCCCACTATCCCTTGTACATTTAACGCTTTACTTTGAAAGATACAGAATGGGGATGCCTGGCTTGATAGCAGTATGTGTGAAAAAGATATTGAGGTCCTTGTGGACAACAAGTTAAACATGAGCCAACAATGTCATGCAGCAACTAAAAAAGCCAATGGGACTTTGACGTGCATAAATAGGAGTATAGTGTCTAGATCCAGAGAAGTCATGCTACCCCTCTATTTTGCTTTAGTCAGACCAAACCAAGCCTGGCATACTGTGTCCAATTCTGTGCATTGCAACTTAAAGGAGATGTTGACAAGCTGGAATATGTCCACACGAGGGTGACTAAAATGATCAAGGGTCTGGAGAACAAGCCCTATGAGGAGCAGCTTAAAGAGCTGGGCATGTTTAGCCTGCAGAAGGGAAGACTGAGAAGAGACAGGATAACCATGTATAAATATATGAGGGGAAGTCATAGGGAGGAGGGAGCAAGCTGGTTTTCTGCTGCCCTAGAGACTAGGATGTGGAACAATGGCTTCAAACTGCAGAAAACTGCAGAAAAGGAGATTTCAAACTGCAGAAAAGGAGATTCCACCTGAATATCAGGAAGAACTTCCACAGCTGTGGAATTCTCTGCCCCGGACTGTGGTAGAGGCTCCTTCTTTGGAGGCTTTTAAACAGAGGTTGGATGGCCATCGGGGGTGCTTTGAATGCGATTTTTCTGCTTCTTGGCAGAAAGGAATTGGACTGGATGGCTCAACTCTATGAGTCTATGATTCTATTCTTTGAGCAGATAGCAAAAAAGAAACAGAGAGCAAAAGCTCTATCTGTAGATTTCATATGCTGCATATGTATTGAGGAAAAAGATTTCAGGACTGCCCTATCTGCAATAGTCTTCCTTTTTTGTCTTTCTTAATTGGTCCAGAAAGTTTAAACTTAAACTTCTTAAAAAGCAATTTACCCGAATAAAGTCTATTTCAAACTACAACTGACTGATACCTGTGGTAACTTTAAGGAATGACTCCACCAAAGTTTTTGACCCTACTAAAGTTTAATGACTCAAGTAGACTTTCTGGTTCACAGCCTTAAACACCTTAAACACCTGTCGCTATGTGCAGAAGAGATGAAAGGTATCAAATAAAGGTAGGAAAAGACTGAATTTGGAAAAACTTAATAAGCTTCTCTGTGGTACAGAATGTTCTTTATCTTTATGGATAGCGCTATAATTTTTTAGTAAAATGGCATACGCTGGACAAGAAATGAAATGCTTTTTAGCGCAAAAATATTTTTCCCCATTGGTATTGCACAGCTACGTCCATCTGCTAGAATTATTAGCTGTAAATAAGGCACACTGAGGAATTAAAGTTCATATTATTGCACACTAAGAAGCCAATTTCCAATAGATTTGTTTAGATGACCTATGACTGAGATATCCTGGGGTATTTATTATCTCTTCGATGAAAAAAAAATTGAAGTTTTGAACAATTGATTGAAGGTTTATTATTAGTCTGCATGGATAACATTTCTTTCCATAAGGAAATGGCTGGCGTAGTAATCAGTATGAATGGAGGTTTTGTTTCAAATTTATCTAGGTTTCACTTCCTATATTTGTTGCTCAAAATTACAAGGGGTGATTTCCCCTGACCCACTTTTATGTATCACAGGACGCTGAAACTGCACTTGTGTAGTGATATAAATCTCTATAGGTTACATGCCAATTTACAACTCAAAACTGATAACAGTCTTGATTTTACAGGTACTGAAGTGTTGTAAGGTTTGATAATGGACCCTGAGGAATCCAGAGTAGTCATCAAGTTCCTTTACTTGAAAGGCTGCACACCAAGGGAGACGTTTGGTGAAATGAAAGAGGTTTACGGTGAGGATTTCCCATCTTATGATGTAGTCAAGAACTGGCACTGTCAATTCAGATGTGGTCAGACTTCGGTAGCAAACAGCTCCAATTACAGGGCGGCCCCACTATGCTACCAATGAACACACCATCCAGCAAGTGGAGGTCACCATTTTGGAAAATCACTGTGTAACCATTCACCATCCAGCCCAAAATGTCAAGATTAGTGTGGGGTCTGTGGAAAAATCATCCAAGCCATCTTCACATGTGTAAGGTTATCTGCTCGCTGGATCGCCAGCTGCTCACACCGTTCCAGAAGTAGGAACGAGTTGAATGCTCTCAGGCTTTATTTACGAAGTGTCGTGGAAACAGGAAGGACTTTTTCAACAGACTCATCACACAGGATGAAAGCTGGGTCCATCACTATGATCCTGAGACTAAAGTCCAGTCGATGCAATGGAAGCATCATGACTCACCGTCTCCAAAGGCACATGCCCAACTTTCGGCAGGCAAGTCATACTCACCGTCTCCAAAGTATTTTGGGACCAGCATGGAGCAGTATTGATGGATTTCCTAGCAAAGAATGCCATGATCACTGGGGCATACTATGCTTCACTGCTGCAGAAATTTCAAGAGGCCATCAAAACCAAGAGACATGCTCACCAAAGGTGTCTGCCTTCTGCAAGACAATGCACCAGTTCACAACTCACATGTTGCCCAAATGGAAACATGCTTCTGTGGCTTTGAAATTCTCCTGCATCGCCCTCTTCACCCAACCTTGCACCATCGGACTTCTACTTCTTTCCAACAATGAAGTTATTTTTGAAGGGCAAGAATTGTTAAGATGATGAGACTCTGGCCAACTATCTATAACCAACATGAATGTATTATATGGTAATCAGTATAAAATCCTTCTTTGTACTTTATTGGCAATAGGGAGCAAGCAGTGATGACTATGCTTTGCTGTTGCCAAGTTCCTTTAAGCAGAAGTCCCTTCCAGACAGGCCCTATATCTCAGGATCTGATTCCAGGTTTTCTGGTTTAAACTGGATTATATGAGGCCCCCTCCACACAAAATAAAATCCCACATTAACTCTTTGAATTGGGATATATGGCAGTGTGGACTCAGATAACCCAGTTCACATATTGTGGGTTATTCTGCCTTGATATACTGGATTATATGGCTGTATGGAAGGGCCCTGAGTACACACTGGGATAAACAGAAAACCTGGGATCAGATCCTGGGATATCGGGCCTGTTTGGAAGGGCCCTGAATGATTTATACCAACCCTATCACTAAGTCTTCTTGGCAATATTTATTCAAAGTAAGTTTACCATTGCCTTTCTCTTAGATAGAGTGTGACTTGTCCAAAGTCACTTGGTAGGTTTTTATGACTAAGTAGGGATTTGATCTTAGCCTCCAGAGTCAAACTCCAATGCCCAAATCTTATAGTCAAACCTGGCCTCTCAGAATTGCAGTTGGCCACTCAAATCACAACACCACACTGACTCCCAGCTTGGATTCAGCAATATGATGTGTCAGTGAATGTGGCCTTCCATCTTGGAATCCTGGTTTGCACCATGCTTTAAATGTGCTTAGTGACAAAACAGACATTACATTTAGAGATAATTTTACCTGCCCCATGTATGTTCTTTCTCCACAGGATGTAATCTTTCTCTTGTCTTTCAAAAGTCAAAGTAATCCCACTAGAACAGCATACTGGAGTCAAGGCAAGCAATCTAGCAGCAGATACAGAATACCAGTCTCGTTCCCTCACAGCCCATCTTTGGCTGAGCATGATGTGATTGCAGGGTATCAAGTACCTAAAATAACAACGCCTTTGTTTAACAAACTACAATGGTACATTTAAAGGAGATTTTCTAGTCCAGGGATGAGAAGAAGGTAGATCAGGATCCACTGGTATATTATTGGTTTACAAATAGCAGATTATCTTGTATTTATTGTTTAATAACAAATGTTGTCCACCTCTGCCTCTGTCTAGGTTACACTAAAGGGAAGGGAGAAAGCTGAGTATGGCAGTGGTTCTCAACCTGTGGGTCCCCAGATGTTTTGGCCTTCAACTCCTAGAGATCCTAACAGCTGGTAAACTGGCTAGGATTTCTGGGAGTTGTAAGCCATAACACCCAGGAGACCCACAGGTTGAGAACCACTGGAGTAGGGAAAAACTGGGAATACATGTTTGTGCATGAAAGTTCCAACTTTGAAACTATATTTCTGTGTTGAGTAGTACCTGGATCTAGGCCACTGTGTCTACATGATATGAAAATAACATGAGGACACATTCATAGAAAATTAGGGGAGGGGGGGCTTCATACATGCTACCAGAGACTAACATAAAATACTAGCATTTAATTAGGGAACATTTCATATTGCTGGAATTCATTTAGTTGGCTAATACAATAGTAATGTTTTAGGTTTTACATTGAATGCTATTTCCTGTATGCAGTTTTCTGAGGACAATGTAACTTGAAAAATGTTTTTGAAATATTATAAAAGAGAAGGAGAAAAGGTGATGATGGCCCTGCCAGTTAGTTTCCTCCCACCCAAAAGATGCCATGCATTTACATGCTAGGCTGAAAGAAATACAGTGTTCTACCTGAAAATAGACTAGTTTACACTAATTAATAATAGCTCTCTGGGGTTTGAAGCAGAGCTGTTTCCTAAGGTCAGGATATTCCAAAGGCCAAACCTGAAGTGCAAAATATGTGCTCTATTACTTAGTTTCAATCTTTCAACCGAAATCACTAAATTACAGAACTGACAAACTATAAAAAATTGGATAGATAACTCAGACTTTAGGCAATTGTTTTGAATGCGACAATGTTCACTGCTATAAATAACCACTTCTCCTTGATTTTGGAGAGACAAATCCAATTAATGAATTTAAAAAATGTTTGCTTATAGGCATGTGCTACAAAAATGAAATGACTTTCCAGTAAACTCAGGAATGCTTGCTTATACCTTTTTAAAAACCACAACGAAATGGCATATTTTTGTAACAAAGTTATAACTGGCTAGTAACTGGCAAACATATGAATCGAAAACAGTAGGTGTTGAAAGTCATTAGCTTGAAAACAGTTCTAGTACTGTAAATTGACTATCAATAGTAGGCTACCCAATTTCTGTGTCGTGGGATGTAAACTAGAAAGCCAGAAATATATTCCCAGTTTTCCTTCCTACCATTTTTAAGAAGCAAGGTGTACATTTATATAGAATACCCTCCATTAATTTTGTTTGAATGAATGCAAATTATTTTGCTCAATGTGTTGCCGAAGGCTTTCATTGCTGGAATGAAACTGGGTTGCTGTGAGTTTTCCGGGCTGTGTGGACATGTTCCAGAAGCATTCTCTCCTGCTGTTTCACCCACATCTATGGCAGGCATCCTCAGAGGTTGAGGGGTCTGTTGGAAACTAGGCAAGTGAGGTTTATATATCTGTGGAATGTCCAGGGTGGGAGAAAAAACTCTTTACTGTTTGAGACAGCTGTGAATGTTGCAATTGGCCTCCTTGATTAGCATTTAATGGCCTTGCAGCCTTAAAGCCTGGATAGTTGCTGTCTGTGGGGATTCTCTATTGGGAGGTGTCTGGAATTTTTATGTCTGGAATTCGTCTGCTTTTTTAGCGTTGCTCTTTATTAACTGTCCTGATTTTAGAGTTCTTTAAAATACAGGTAGTCAGATTTTGTTAATTTGCATGATTTCCTCCTTTCTGTTGAAATTGTCCACATGTTTGTGGATTTCAATGGCTTCTCTGTGTAGTCTGGCATGGTGGTTGTTCGAATGGCCCAGCATTTCTGTGTTTTCAAATAATATATTGTGTCCAGGTTAGCTTATCAGGTGTTCTGCTATGGCTGACTTCTCTTGTTGGTTTAGTGTGCAGTGCCTTTGATTCGTGTTCGGGCACCGCATTTGGTAGCCCCTATATAGACTTGTCACTCACTTCGCTAAACTTGAAAGAAGCATAGTTTCATCCTAAAGTGGTTTGTAATTTCTAAACACATTCCTCTTCCTTTTTCTTTCTTTTACACCTCTTGCATTGATTCTGGGTTTATATAAAACCAGTGGGTGCAAATATCATACACACACACACACCCCGGCAAAGAAGAGCTAGTTAGAACAACCGGTATGATATTATAGACAGCAAGGGGTTTGGACTACCAGTATCATGGGAAAAGATTTAGTTTTACCTTAAAACTAGCTGTAGCATCACATCTTCACAATGTAAGCTGATAAGTGTTCTGAATAATGCCAAGGACACCACGCAGAGCTGAGAAAAGATAAGCACCATCAAAATCTGTAACCTTCTATCTTTACCCATTTTTTTAAAAAAATTGCACTGCACAATCATTTGATTATTTATTATTATTTACTCTATTTGTTTCTCGCTTTTATCCACCCCGAAGGGGACTCAAGGGGGAATTACATATTTATTTATTATTTATTTTATTTAAAACATTTATATTCTGCCCTTCTCATCCCAAAGGGCACAACATACAAAAGGCAAACGTTCAATGCTGGGACATGAATAAATTATATGCATACATTAAAAACATTTGTCTCAACGTTAAAATACACTGTTTAAAAATTGTTGTTCAATGCCTTTGAACAACAAACATTAAAATACATTAAGTTAAAGATTTATATTTGAATTTATTTATTTATTTCAGGCATTTTTATCCCATCCTTCTCACCTCCGAAGAGGAACTCAGTACAGCTTACAGCACATTAAAAACATATAAAATATTACAATCACTATTAAAAGTCACACCATCCACAATCATAATCCTGGTACTTTTGAACAGGATTAGGGAAATATTCAAAATTGGCCGGACAACATATCCTGAAGAATTTGGTTAACATGGTTAAACCAGGATATCCACACTACATAATTAATGCAGTTCAATTGGCATGGCTCAGTACTATGGAATAATGGGAGTTGTAGTTTGGAGAGACATCATCATTCTTTGGCAAGGAAGGCTAAAGACTTTGCAAAACTAAAGCACCCATGTTTCCACAGCATTGAGCCATGGTAGTTAAAGAGGTGTCAAACTATATTAATTTTACAGTGTAGATCCACCCCCAGTCTCACACTCCAACCTCTATAGCATGCTGGTGGCTACTATATATTCAATCAATAAGCCCTGTGATGAAAAAAATATTTCCTTTTCTTGGCATGCAAAATCTATCTTCATACCCTTCCTTCTATTCTTGCATGCTAAGAACCATGTAATCATTGCTGGTTACAAATTCATACATGTTCAACATGAACAGATGAGATAAGTCCACTATCAGAGCAGGTACAACGTGCTGTTTGCCTGAAGGAAAGGACAAAATGGTGCCCTCCTTTCCATTAAAAGAAGCAAACTGCACTGACAGCTGGATATTATTACTTCAGCAATGATACAACACTTCACCTGACGATAGCAAGCTAGTTTAGTGGGTATAGGACATGCCATATGGTGCACACAGCCCTCCTGTTTTAGAAAACAGACTGAAGCCTAGCCTCTAGTGGTCTGTCTCTGCTGCACCAAAGCACCTCCCACCTACACCATTTACACACTCATATTGTGCTATGATAATGTGCTGAAAGCTGTGGTGCTTGTTTCTATGTTTGGCTATGTCTACGACAGAGAAGTCATTCGGTATCACAGATGCATGTTGGCAGAGATCCCAAACTACTTGAGACTGGAGAATGCTTCATGATCCCCACCCACTCTGTCTGCGGAACAAATAATTATAGTTCAGTGGAGACAACACTGGCAAGTTGTTAGCTGCGGAAGCAGTTTGGGAGCTAATCTGTTTTGTAGTTCACACCACAGCAGTAAGTATGTGTTTGCGCATGCACGCCCTACTTGAACAATGTTTATTTGGCCTAAGATGACAGCCTTGATACATGAGCACATTATGGATGTTGCACGTACCGATCATCTGGCTTTGACTGTTCTCCACCCAGATGCTACTTAGCATTTCTCATATGCAGCAGAGCCTCCTGCATCCTTTAATAAGGAATAAGTACCAGTCAAGGAGCAGGTGTGGAGGACATTTTGCTAACTGTAAACTGGAGTAGGTATTTGCTTTCATCCTAATATTGAAAGTGCTGCCAAGATCTCTTCTGATAATAATTATATCTCAGAAAGTGTTAATATAATATCACTTTCAATAGATAAATACTTCATACCGCAAAGATCAAGGAACTGAGCTAGCTGTTGTGTTGATAACATTATTTCTACTGACATGACATAGAACAAAATTATTCTACTAAAGCAAGTGTTTGCTTTCGTGCAGAGGACCGCTGTATTCTGTTTCTCTAACTTAACAAGAAGATAAATTCTACTAAGAGTTTTTTTTTTTTGCCAGAGAGGATACATTCATTTTTAAGCCATTAAAAATAGTCATTAGTAATTTCATTACTATTTTATAAAACGTACACTTGTAAAATATAGCACATTGAATACTGATTACTTAATACATATAGAAAAAATAAAAATAAACCTTAAAAAAAAACCACTTCAAACTAGAATTTCATTTTATGCTGCTGCAGGGTCAGTTTTACTATTTTCATTGTTGCTTACATTAAGGACTTCATTGTTTCAATTGCTTTCACAATTACATTTTATAGCTTTTCCATTATTTTTAATGTAATGAGTTATCTTGAGGACTTGATTTAGTCAAAAGGACATGATACTAAATTAAAAACCTAATGTAAAAATGACATAGGATGTGCAACTTGTCAGCTTCAGTATGAGAATTCAAAGCCTAATCAAATGATGCCTAATCTTCATAAAGGGAACCTAGAGTATATAGACCTGGGAGTTACTCGGTTTTTAAATTGCATTAATTAATTTCAAATAATGTAAATACGTCAGTGGTTCCCAACCTGTCATCCGTGGATCACCAGTGGGCCACAAGAACTAAAATATGGTCCGCTGCCTCACCGTATAATAACACAGCCCAACCAAAGAAATTATTGTGTTGGTGTCTTCATTTTTAATCCCATTCCTGGGGTTATTTGGGTGCTGATTCAGAAAATTGCATTGGATAGACCACATCAGCTCTAGATTATTAAAGATGGTTTTCTGTGGGTGAGCAGATGGCAACTACTGGGTGGCATATGTTTTGTATCAGAAGCCAGAGCTGATGTGGTCTATCTAATGCAATTTTCTGAATCAACACCACAAATAATCCAACCAAATCTAAAGTTGATTCGTAACCCTTTTGGTATTAACATTGGAGAGTGGCCCCTGGTCAAATGATCCCTGGTCAAAGTGGTCCCTGGTCAAAAAAGGTTGGGAACCACTGAAATATGTCAGTAAGTTTTAACCTTGTGGTATCATCCTCAATCACCAGATGGCAGTCTTCTCTAACCAGTCCAAAGGTCTGCAATCAGTAGATTGAGGAGCTCAAAGGGCAGTTATTAGTGTTGGAATTCAACCCCACACTGCCCAAGTCTGCAGTCCTCAATGAAGAAGAATTAATTAGGCTGAAGGAATCCCCCGTCTCCTGAATGACAGTTGGAACGTAGCTATTTCTTCTCTCCTCTCTTTTCTACTCTCATTCTGATTGGTTATGTAGAATTGATACTTTGCAGGTGCATTCCTTTTGCTTTTGACTTTCTGCTTTTTACATCGTAGTGTGTATTGAGATCTCTCTCTGCTTGTGTGTCAGGATACATGTAATGATTGGAGATTCTTTCCCTCTCTCTTGAACTCTAGAAGAGATGGGGTTAGTTAATGTACTTAAGACCCAGTTATTTACTACTAAGAAATGTAGATATTATTTTTTGTAAATAAACCTTTTTTGACTTTAAAGATTGAACTCTGTATCTTTGCTTCCTAAGCTCTAAATCAGGGGTCTCCAAACTAAGGCCCCGTGGCCAGATACGACCCTCCAAGGTTATTTACCCGGCCCTCGCTCAGGGTCAACCTAAGTCTGAAACGACTTGAAAGCAGACAACAACAATCTTATCTCATCAGCTAAAAGCAGGGCCACACTTCCCACTGAAATACTAATATGTTTATATTTGTTAAAATTGTTCTTCATTTTAATTATTGTATTGTTTTAAAGTGTTTCTTTTTTTCACTACAAATAAGATATGTGCAGTGTGTATAGGAATTTGTTCATTTTTTTCCAAATTATAATCCAGCCCTCCAACAGTTTGAGGGACTGTGAACTGGCCCTCTTGTTTAAAAAGTTTGAGGACCCCTGTTCTAAATTCTTTATAGCCACATGGTGCTTCACGGTCTGCTTGCTGTGAGCTGAATGCTCAACTGTAAGTATCCTTTTTTGCATATTTTTGGATGCTCTGCTGTTTTGGGGTATTTTTCCCTAACAGAAAATCCTAGCAATTGGACTGTCCCTCTACCCTGCTGCAGGAGGAACTCCTCCAAAGGGATCAAGTGGCCAGGTTATTCCCTCATGAAACTGTAGAGATTCATTTTGGCAGGAAACATACTTCAAAGTGCCATGAGATCTGCCTTTCATCATACAATGTGACCAAAATGTGTTAATCTCCCACAGCTGCACATTTTACTTGAATCCAATGCAGGACTATTCTAACTCATGAAAAGTGGAGTACTTTAACAAATGAGGATTGGAGAAGTTTTATAAAATCAGCACTACAATCAAGCATTTTATCAATCTTGCTATTGTACTTATGTTGTTCAATCTTCCCATGTTCAGAACACAATAACGCAGGATTGAACAGAATGGTGTACTCAAGATTATAATCAAATGGATTAACTGAGAGACCATATGTTTGCCTGCATCTTCCTTGTTATAAAATATCCACTTTAAAATTGAAGTTAGTGACCACCCAGGTTTGTTAAAAAACAGTGAAGAGAGGAACTTTTGAAGTGTCTTACGCAGGCACGGGCAAACTTCACTCCTCCAACTCCCAGAAATCACAGCCAGTTTACCAGCTGTGGGAGTTGAAGTCCAAAACTTGTGTGTGCATCTCCCCCCTGTAATATTTGCAAGCTCTATATATCCTTTCCCTTTTCAAAACATTCCCTTCGTCTTCTTCTTTTGCTCTCTCTCTTTTCAAAAATAAGACTTTCCAAAATGGACAATTCTAGCCTGGGAGGAGAAGCAGAGTGAGAGAGGCTTTGGAAAAGAAAACACACTATAAAGGGAGGGGAAGAGGAGAGAGAAATATATCATATATTGCAAACAATGGCTAGAAGAAGCTGTCAGAGACTTGACCCCATTATAAGCCAAGGAAGGCTTTTTCAGCCCAAAAAAGGGCTGAAAACTTAGCTTATATTCAAGTATATACGGTACTATGCAGCCTATTCAGAGTTACACCACTCAATCTTGAACTGAACACTACTAGTGCTTTGATTTACACTTCCACATTCTGTACAATATGTGCCTGAAGGTATCTGAGTGGCTTTATTGAGATATTTCTCATCATGTAGACTTTTCTTTTATCTGATTGCGCATGGAGCTCTTCTGTATCCTTATCAAAAAATAATAGAAAAATTACAAAATTGGATAAGTTTCCTAATGTTGCCATAACTGCTAATTACCTATGCCTTATAAAGTAAGTTAATAAAATGAGAGAGTAATTCTCAACCAGCTGGCAAAGTAGGAGAAGACAAACTGAAGGAGCGAGAGAAAGGAGCAATGCAGGAAACAGGGAACTTCACAGCGCTCATGGGTTACTCCTTTTGCCTTTCTGAGAACGTCCCATTTCCATGCAACATCCAGGTTTTTTGGAGAAATAAAACAGCAGATACCAGAAAAGTTTCCTAATGGACATACACACTTGCCATTTCACTGCTGAAGAAATGACATATTTTTCTAAAATAATCCCACATAGATAAAGATCTGTACATTTCTATTTCTGTAACCCTACCCGAAATGGAGTGTTTATGCGGCTTGTGAGTGTATCCAGAATGTGCACATTTTCGTGGCGGTGAAGTAGAATGAACCGAAGGAAGATCTTGAGTAAAGCTGGCTCTGAAACACTCCTTAGGAAGAGATCCAAGTATGCAGTTGTAGTCATGACCTCTTCCACAGTCACCTAAAATGATCATAGACAATATGAATATTGCTCCGATTATACAGTTTAAATGCAATTCATAATGCCTTCACAATTAGCCTTCCACAACACTGTGCCCTCCAGTTGTTTCAGACTGTACTTCTCATGAATTCTAGCTAATGTGGTCATCAGTGAGTTAACATGGGAGCTGAACTTGAAGGGTAGCGGGTTTGGAAAGATCGGAACACATATTAACAAGCACAATGTGGTCATTTAAAAACATGCTGACTAGATCCACTTAAAAACATTCACTTAGCATATTTTATTGGATTAACTGAAGTATGAGAATCTCTTCAGCACATTGAGAAGGATGCATACAGTTAAAAAGCTATGCCCTAAGTAATTGATTGCAAGCAGTGTCAGAAGTGCTATATATCTGTTACAGATTTTTTTTGAACATTCAATCCATTAGTTGGAACTAAACTTTTCTTCATTTTTCCCATCCTGCATCTGACCTTTGAGCCACATAACTCTTTGTTCTCTCTGTATGAAACTCTAGAACATCTTTAGCATACAAGTAGTCAGTGTTCTTTCATTCTAACTTCAGCGCCCTTCACACTAGTACTCTGAAAATAAACTAGAGATCCAATTAGCTTTGGGTATTATTCCTCATGACTTTCCTTACTAGAAAAATTCTCTCTTTTATATTAAGGCCAAACCAATGCTTCTAAGCTTCAAATTCCCTTGATGCTTTTCTACCCTGATCACCTGATCACCATGCTTTGCCAAGATCTTGTACAGCCAGACAGAATGCTTTGCCAGCCCTGCCAAAGAGTCCATCAAACTGCAGAGCTTTGTTCCGCATGAGGAGGAGCGCACTTTGATCTTTGAAGCCAAGCAAGCTCCTAGGCGAGTCACAACGGATTATGAAGGAGTTTGTTAAGAAGTGGGCTTTAAGTCCTAGAACATGGCTTCTGAACAATCTCTGAATTCTGTTGTACGTTTTCACAAGAAGACTTCTTGCTCAGGCTCTCTGTGTAAATGTACTTTTACCAGAATTGCTATGGGTAGTAACAGCTTAGCACCCAGTTTAGTCTTCATAGTGATGCTGCGTTTCTTTTTCTTTTGAGTGTGCTTATTTGAGGAAGGGGGAATTTACTATAGTATGGTCTTTGCATTTAAAGTGTGTGTGTGTGGACTACTTCTCAATTCAGAAGCAGCTATTTCCTCTTGGAGGTCTTTTTGGGTGCATAACAACAACAACAACATGTAATTTCATATTGTTGAGCTGTCTAAAATGGGTTTGTACTTTATTTTATTTTATTTTGCTGTGTTCTGTTGTATGTTGTTTACTGTATTGCAGGGCTTGGCCCCATGTAAGCCGCCCCGAGCCCCCTCGGGGAGATGGTGGCAGGATATAAGAATGTTGTTGTTAATAATAATAATAATAATAATAATAGTAATCAACTTTATTTTTACCCTGCCACCATCTCCCTGAATGGACTCAGTGCGGCTTACAGACAGCACGAAATGCCTAAAAACAAACATAAAAATGAACACATAGAATGTTGTTTATTCGTTCAGTCGCTTCCGACTCTTCATGACCTCATGGACCAGTCCACGCCAGAGCTCCCTGTCAGACGTGGCTACTTCCAGCTCCTTCAAAGTCAAGCCAGTCACTTCAAGAATACCATCCATCCATCTTGCCCTTGGTCGGCCCCTCTGCCTATTTTCCTTCCATTTTCCCCAGAATCATTGTCTTCTCCAAGCTTTCCTGTCTTCTCATTATGTGGCCAAAGTACTTCATCTTTGCCTCTAACATCTTTCTCTCCAATGAGCAGTCGGGCTTTATTTCCTGGAGTATGGACTGGTTTGATCTTTTTGCGGCCCAAGGCACTCTCAGAATTTTCCTCCAACACCAGAGTTCAAAAGCATCTATCTTCCTTCGCCCAGCCTTCCTTATGGTCCAGCTCTCACATCCATAGGTTACTATGGGGAATACCATTGCTTTAACTACGCGGATCTTTGTTGATGTCTCTACTCTTTACTATTTTATCGAGATTGGTCATTGCTGTCCTCTCAAGAAGTAAATGTCTTCTGATTTCCTGGCTGCAGTCTGCGTCTGCAGTAATCTTCACGTCTAGAAATACAAAGTCTGTCATGGCCTCCACGCTTTCTCCCTCTATTTGCCAGTTATCAATCAGTCTGGTTGCCATAATCTTGGGGTTTTTTATGCTTAACTGCAACCCAGCTTTTGCACTTTCTTCTTAGAATACAATAAAACGCATGTGCATATAAAAACATCAATTCAAACTCCTTTGCATCACTGGTTATACATGTTGCAAGTATATGTGATTCTTAACATGTACATGCAGCAACAAATCGTGCACCTGTTCTCTTTCATGACTTCACTGTTAAGAAATGACTCTTCACTAAAAACAAACTTTTGTTATTTGCTATTGAAAAAAGTATACAGAGCAAATTAAAAAAATATTTTCTTAAACTGTTTCTGAAATCATTTCCAAAAAGTTATTTTGAAGTGTTATTTATTAATGTTTATACTATTGTGTCATTTTAATTGTATGGAGTGATATTTGTTTATAGCTGATATTATTTCCTGTATCTGTTGGTTGTTGTAAGCTGCCACGAGTCCCTTTGGGGAGAGGAGCAGAAGGAGGAGGAGGAAGAGCATGACAGAATATCCAAAGAACAGGACATCACATTATTGCTCAAGAGATGTGAGGGGCCATGGTGGCACAGTGAGTTAATAAACTCTTGTGCTGCTGAACTGCTGACCTGAAGGTTGGAGTTCGAATCTGCAGGACAAGGTGAGCTCGCGCTGTCAGCACTAGCCATTGCTAACCTAGCAGTTCAAAAACATGCAAATGTGAGTAGATAAATAGGTACTGCCTTGGCGGGAAAGGCATAAGATGCTCAAAGCAGCCATGCTGGTCACATTACCATGAGGTAACAACGCAGGCTCCCTGACTTGGAAATGGAGAACACAACCTTCCTCGGAGCCAGAGATGAGCACCACCTCCAAAGCCGGAAATGAAAGGAGAAGCTTTGACTGTTATTTGTGTTTCTGTGTCTCATTATATTGTAACAAGGCATTGATTGTTTACTGGTATCTGTTTATACTGTAATCCGCTCTGAGTCTCCACGGGGAGAGAGGCGGAATATAAATAAAGTGTTGTTGTTGTTATTATTATTATTATTATTATTAAAATATTCCTAGTATTGTCATTTTTTCTACTTTTGTTGCCTCTGCACTACCAAATATTTCTCAACAACTAGAGCAGATTGTGGCGAATATACAGATTCCACATTAGTAAATCACATGTTGCCCATTTATAATATGGAAATTTAAAATTCCACAAGGACAAGCTATAGTAAAAAAAAAAAAAAGCTTGGGTTTTGCTTACAGCACTCAAGGATTGTGCTGACTTTCTGTCACCTGGTTATTAACAAAGAGAACAAAGATCGATTGCTATATAGGTCTCTATATAGCAATAAAGTAGATAGATACAGCTTAAAAAGCACTAACCAGGGAAAGCCTAACTGAATCTCACTGAAGACACCATAATACAGTGAGCCCTTAATGTTTGGGGTTTAGTTCCAGGACACCCCTCACCCCCCGTGGATCCCAACATCAGTGGATGCTCAAGATCCCTTTGTACATATTGGTGCAGTAAATTGGTGTGTTTTATATATCATGGTAAAAACAAAGTTTGCTTTGGGAAGGTACTCTTGGAGGGGAGATTTTCAATCTGTGGTACTATATAGGGCCAACAGTACTACTTAGTAAGTTAATCATGTCTAGAGATGAACACTATTTCTTTTAAAAGGCACACGTTCCAATTGCACCTCTGTATTGGATGGTAGATGCCTATGCTATTTTTATAACAAAAATGAGCGCATGTTGCTTTGCTAATGCAATCTTTTAAAGCTCATTTATCAGAAGGTGCTTGATATTTTGAAGCCAACCTTTGCGCTCTGGACTAAGACTGCAAAGTCAGCACTTTAAAAATAGTTACCGATGAGCCTAATAGGCTTAAAAATGCAAACACAAAAACATGTAGACCTGTTCATATGAAAAGGGGTATAAACCATCTTTTGTTAACTATAGTTTTAAAAAGCTGTCATTCCTCGACAATTTGGAAAATATTCCAGTGTGTGGTATTTGCAAGAAATGTAGATTATTTTGAAAGACTGCTTTTTTCATGCAGCATGTTAGCTGCATTTAAAGAGAACATTTTGTCATATTTTAAGCATTTCTTAAGATTGTACTCATAAGCATACAGCTTTCTTTACTTGGAACATCACATCCTTAAATTAAATTAAGTGGCTTCCTAAGATTTTCCATTCATGCTTACATATAAAACGCATTTAATTACCAACTTAAAGCTTCCATACGTTACAAAAATTAGTGCATACAGCTATAGAGGACCCTGAAGTATATCTTTTAGGATTTCAAAGACATATACTTCACAATGAACTACTAAAAAACTATTAAAATCATGGATATTCTTATTTTCAGTACCACATTTTCTTTCAATTCAGCATCCACGCTGCTTGAATATTGCTTTAAACCTTCCTTTCACTTCTGCAGTAATCTTGGCAGGAATGTATCAGCAATAACAATGACTACTATAAAGTAACTTACAAAAACCAAGATCTTAAAATATACTATATCTGAATAGCGTATATTATGTGTATTTTATGATGTCCCCTTGAACTAAAAAAGATCAATGCATCATTTTGGACACTGAGCTTTATATACTACCAAGAACTTGCATGCAAATTTACATTTAGCATCCCTTCCAAGTACAGAAAGCAGCTGTTCAAAAAATCAACACTAGCCAATAGGACAACCAGAGCCTGTACATAATATTATTGTGGAGAATGCCAGGAAATATAAATAAGAAATTAAATAAACAAAACTAGGGAGTACACTTGAAATCCAGTAACATTTTTATGGACCATTCTTCAATTTCAAAAAATTAAGAATCTTAACCGTTCTAAGTGCCGCTATACTAGAT